GCGCAACGCTTCGTCATCCGAAGAATCGGGATATCGATCGAAAAGCGTACTTTTCACGCGGAAGTCGTCGATTATCGGCGGATTGGCGAAATAACGACAGCGTCGATCCGTAGCACGCGTCCGCGTCGCGATCGGTGCGCGCTGCATTTTTATCGGCGTGCAGTTCGCGAAGCGTGCAGCTTGCAGGCGGCGGCTCGCAGACGGGGTGGAATGCGCCGAGCGGCGCGGCACGGCGGTTCCCGTGGCTCACAAAGGGGTTAACCCACGGGGCTATTATTATGACCAGCCTCGAATCACGGGACAGGCTTCCGCGGTTATTTCTGCTGAAAGGGGACAAAGTAATTGCGGCCAGCGTGCACACACCGACCGATTCAACTCTTTCGTGAAACGTACCGCGACCGTGGCGTTCGAGGGAACCGGGAGACAGAAACAGCAGAGAGAGAGAGAGAGAGAGAGGGAGAGAGAGAAAAAGCGTTGGAGGACGGAAGGAAAATCGGATTTATCGATTTGCCGGCGCCAGCAACGGGAGTAAAATTTTCGAGCGGTTCGTGGGATGCATTCTCGAGCGAGGTGCAGAGAGGCGGGGCGGGGCGAGGCGGGGCGAGGCGCCGCGCCGATGGTTCACGTCGCGAGATAGATATCCTATTTCGCGCGGAACCGGGACACGACACGCTTCTGAATCGGAAATGTTCCTGGCGCAGCTTCCCGGCACCGACAGCCCGGGATATACGACACTCTCTTCCCTATTTATCGCCGTCTTATTATTTCTTCGTGTTTCCATCAGTCGCAGGCGCCCGATGAGATACCGTGAGCACACGCTCCGCTCCCTTGTCTCTGTCGCTCAACTTCCAGTCACGTAATTACCCTGCGTCGCTACGTCTGCGAAATTCCAAGGCACACGCTCTGTCTACTCGAATCTCGTCGAACAGCACCCTCCTCGCTTTCTTTCGGAATAACCGGAATCTACTTGTTACGAAACGCGACTCTATTCCAACTATTGCATTGTCCGGAAAGTAATTTCGACTCCGAAGAATGTTAGAAACGCGCTAGAACAAACGTTTTGCCAATATGAAACGAGAGTTGTACCAGCATAAGATTTCAAAGCTACCAGAAAAATGTAAAGAACCGAGTTATTGTTCTATAACTTCTTTCTCTTGACATTTTTTTGTTATAGAACTGTTATAGAACAGTAGCTATAGTATATAGTATAGTTATAGTACAGTACAGTTATAGAACAAATAAATCGGTAAATGATGTTTTTTTAAGACATTAAAATCCGTTCTCTCGTGAAACATCGATGTTACAGTAACGTCTCCCTTATTGGCGCTCAGATTGTGCAGAAAAATGGACAATTTGGGAAGAGGAGACACGATTATTCGAGCCTTGAAGCTCGTTTTTATAATCGTCGACAATTCATGACTATAAAAACGTACCGCAAAGCTCGAATAATCGCATCTCCTCTTCCCAAATTGTCCATTTCTGTGGACAATCTGAGCGGCAATTAGAGAGACATTACTGTACTTCACGAATAACCCGATACAACATCGACGTAACTATTCATAGATATTTTGTCAGGATCACTGTTACACATATCTTCGTTATCTAGTAGCATTCGCATTTCTGTTATACATGCTTCGAAGGCAGAGCTTGGTTGGACGCTCCTTGACCACCTATCGTCGCAGATAAGAGACGATGCACCAAACTGCATAGAACAACGTGCAGAGCGAGAAGAATTGTTCTTTCGAGCGAAACACGTCGGATTAAACGTTTCGCATGTCCGAGGTACGCAATTCCCGATCGAATGCATCATGAATTTCACCGAAACGACCCGAAAAAGTTTGGTCCCCGTGTTATCAATTTTTCTCGCTTCTTTGAACGCCGCAACGGCGCAGCGATGATCCAATTTTTTCGCAGAATTCACTGGAACAAAGTTAAAAATCCGCTGATGCTTCACCGGGAACACGTTGAACACGCGATAGCGTTTGTACGCTGCTTGTTTGCGCGATCGTGAATATAGCTATGGGGAACAAGAGCCGGCGAGAGCAGCGCGGGTTGCAGCCAGCGCGAAAGAGACGGAGGAACAGTGAAAAAGAGGAAGAGATAGAGAGAGAGAGAGAGAGAGAGAGAGACTGAAAACACAAAGAAAGAATGGAGGGACACGGCGCGTCGCGTCGGCGCCGGCGCCGCGGCGGAAGATAAAACGATGCAATTGTCATCGTAGAAATAACGAAACGAGTGCGCACGATTCCATCAATCCTTTGTGCACCGTTTCCGCCCCCGAAGCTGATCTAACCGCGCGCAATTTACGAGGGACTCGCGAGCCCGTCTCGCTCCTTGCGCGATTAATCGAGTTCGAGTTTCGAGCCTGAAACTTTTCTCCGGCAATTCCTGCAATTACCCCTTTCGCGGTCGCCCGAACCGGCGCCGCGATCTCCCAACATCTGGATTTTTATGCAAATTTTCGATCTTTTCGAAGCGAAGATCGCGCAACGAAACGGCTGACAAAATCGAACGTTCCGTGGATTTATCGGCGACCGAAAAAAGGCATAAATCCCGTAAAAAGGTAATATAGCAGCAGGCTTTGTCATTTGCGCGGAGAAAACCTATGAAAAGCGTATTTATCGCGCCCTCTCGTTGCAATTCCGGGCAATGCGCGGCTCGCGATCTTGCTCGCTCGTTCGAAACCCGGAGAACGCTGGTCCGCGACCATGCCGCGGCCAATTCCATAAATATTCCGAGGGGATGGGAGGGCCCAAGGGGGCCCCGAGAGCGCAGCCAGCGCGCGAGTACCGTGATCCATAAATAAATTCCCCTCATTCCGTTGATCCTGGCTAATTAATCGTCGGCTTCTGTTCTAACGCGATCCCGGGCTCGATACATATTTCCGACTGAGTAATTAGCTACCTTAATTTTCTCGGCCGCCTGTCGCTGCGCAACACCGGCACGGCGTCCATAAACTTTCAAATTTTCTGCCGGCCCCCGGGATTGAATTAAACGCCGCCGCGCCGATCGGGACACCCGCCACCTCGTTGGACAAATTCCGAACGCTTTCGCCAAATTATGGTGTCCCTTGGTTGCGCGGAAGCCAAATCGGACCGAATGAAATCTATCGGGCGCTTCAAGGTTCGACGAAGTCTATGAGAGCTCAAAATTCAGAGATCCGAAGAGCTTTAAGAATTCGAAAAATCCACAGAATTTCGGGACATTCGCGGGGACCAAGGGCTCGAAACAGTTCGGAGAACTCGAAGGACGTCGAAAGGGGGGCTAAAAGAGCTCGCGAAGGACTCGGAAAGCTGCGAACACTCGGAGAAATCTGAGGACTCGGCGCGCCGCGAGTCCGAAAGCTTCGAAAGTGCGCCGGATCCGAAAGTTTCGGATCCAAAGAGCAGAAAAGAAGCCCGCAGCGATCGAGTAGGCTCCGAGTGAAAGCCAAGCGCACTTCCGTTGTTCCGGCTCGGGAAAAGCTCTCCCCAATGAAACGACGCGACGCGAGGCGACGCGACGACGGCGTGAAGCGAGCATAATTCGCGAGCGTCGACCTTATCGATTTCCCACGGCGAAAGGTTTCCCTTTTTTCCTCTCGCGCTCTCCCTAGCATCCCTCCGCCTTCCCGATCCGCCGTCGGGTTTTCTCCGTTTCCTAACGACGCGCGCAACGTTTGCGCGGATCTTCTTCCGGGAAATTTAACGCTGACCCGCGATAAATATCGCATTCGGCGCGGATTTTGACGAAGTTCGCGGGTCAAAGACATCGTTCGCGAAATCGTCGACAACGTCGCCTCTCGGGAAACGGGTTGAAACCCGACTGTGCCGAAGTTTCGAAAGCGAGTTCATCTTACACGAACATTTGCCAAGATAATCGGCGACTCGAAAATTAAGTCTCGGAAGTTTGCCAAAATATGATCGCAAGAATTTGAGAAGGCTGTTGCGTCGTCGTCGACTTGCCGCAATCGTCGAAAGAGGAATTTTCCTAAATCTGCCGGGCGATTAAAAGCGACTAACGTTTAGAAGAATGTTAAGATTGAATTTGATTTGATAATTCGGCGCGGCGAAGCCCGTTTGGCCGCGCGATTATTCCATTTCGCGAGATTCGCCGCGCGGCTTAATTAATCAATTTTTGCGGCGAGTTTTTCTCGCCGCGTGCGGCGCGGCGAAGAGCTCTGCGAAAAGTTAACGAGAAAGGAGTTTGGTTAGTGTATGCAAACCGTGGCGGCGGGAGGAAAGTGGAAAAGCTGCGTATCCTCTTGGCGACCGATTAACATAATACCGTATAATTTTCGTGGGCAAAGGTTCCAACGGACTCGCGCGGCCGAGGTAAGTTTAATCCTCCGCCTTTGCTCGTTTTTTCCTCGGTGGTCGTCGCGATGCGGAATTTGCGACCGGACGAGCCGGGCTAACCGCGAATAATTCTCCTTTTTGTTTCCCATTGGCTTTTTTCTCCCTCGCCGGCACGCTCCGGCGGCGGCCTCTTCTCTTCTCTGTTCTCTGCTCTCTGTTTCATGTAATTGCCCGTCCGAGCGAAACCGATATTTTCCGACGGGCCAGGAGACCGTCGTCGATTAATTGATACCGCGATTATTAAATTACGGCCAGGTTTTTCCCGGTCGAATACTGAAATTCGCCGGGATATTAAATCCACCCTGGAAATTGGACATCATGCGATTCCTATTTTCCTTTTTTTTTATCCTCCTCTCGTTCACCGTTCCCCCTCCTCCGCCGTTGTCGGCAAACATTTTTGTTCCGCTGCCGCGAATCGGAATAATAAAAAGGGAACCAGAAATATTTGCCCTTGTCTCCGTATGCGATTTTTTCTTTTGATCTCTCGACGTCCGAGCAAGCATTACGGGGTTTTTTCCCCACAAATCTATGGTCGCAGTCGCTTATTATTATTATTATTATTATTATTATTCGCGTCTGTTATCTGAAATTTCCAGGCTTACATTCCGATCGACGACAACAATGATGATAAAAACAAAAAACAATTTCGTATCGACCACTTACTGTTCGGATCGTGTATCCATCTCTTCTTGTCCCCCGATTTCATCATGCGCGTGTCATCCTGCAACAGAAACGTCATCGTCGCGATTAATTCCGGAAATATGCGCAGCCGACGCGTCGATCAATTATACTTTATGAAAATTGTTGCAAGAAACGTCCAACGAAATGGACGCGTAAAGCGTCAATTTTGCGAGAAAGATCGCATCGCGGACGAAAACGAAGGGAAATAATTGATCGGCGCGACAGTCGCGAAACGGCAGCTTTATGCGGCGGCGCTGAAACAATGCTATAAAAAAGCGGCGATAAGGTGACGATGTTAAATTGGTGAGTCGCGATGCAAATGGCTTTTCGGAAGAACGATCGTGTTAACGGGCGAGGCGAGCATGCGACCAGGATGCCGAAATAAAATGTCCACGGTTTATCAGCGGTGTGGGCGGAGGCGTGGCAGTATTCCAAAATTTCCATGGAGGACTCGCGAAATTGACTCGCCAAGCCCGATAGGATCGTTCTCCGGCATTTATCAGGGAACTTGCTAACTTTCTGATCGATCCGCTGACAACGGTTCGCCGACGGTTCCCGTCCCGTGCGCGTGCCCCTGCGCCTGCACCTGCACCTGCACCTGCACCGACACGCTTGCACCAGCAAGTCGGCCCGCAATCTCCTCGGGTATATCAGCGCGGCAGATTTTCGCCGGTCCCTCCCCCTTTGCTATTTTCGATATTATCCTCGAATTGTTGCGAACTGGCACGTGAACTATCACGCGAGCCGAGCACCCATCCGCCCCCGCGATCGCGTCCTCGGCCTCAACTTTCACCAAGGGCCTTTTGCTCTTTCCGCGAGCAACCCTGAATTCGAGCGGCCCATTCTTTTGCCCGAAACTTCGCGAAAATCTTCTTCGCAAAATTCGCGCGCGTTACCCTCGCCGTTCCGTTCAATCTTCCGCTAATCCCGCCGACGGACACGCGAGCTTTCCGCCATTTAATTAACACTTTCGCGCGCAATTACGAACGACGATTTCACGATCCGCTGCTGAATGTTACGCGACGAGATGTCACGCGTACGTGTTAATTAGGGCGGGCCGAAATTCGCGGTAGAACAGGGTGCGATTCTACGCGAGAAAATACGAAAAGAATTTATATTAATATTAAAAGAATATTTTATATACCTATAGATATGTATACCTCTCGACACAACAAACCTCGACGAAGTTTCGGCATCGACCAACCTTCGAGTAAACCGGGAAACGCAAATTGAAAAGAAGCTCTGCGAAAAAAAGGTGAGTACGTAGGTCGACCGTTGTTGTCGCAGCCGCTAAAGGGCAACGGTTTAATTGCCGAAATATGGAGATAAGCTCCGGGGGTGGCGTGTGGGCTCGGTTCGGGGAATCTCGTGCCGAGGACGACCTTGAACGGTAAAAACGCAACCGTGTGCCGGTCGCCGGAAATATTTCCGTCGTTGGGAGAGAACTGGCCTTGTTCGCGGCGAGTCTCGCGAGCGCGCGGCGAGGTCGTTGTTAATTGGGTCACAGAGGAACCGTCGCGTTTTTTCGTTCCGTTCGTTTTTTTTCGGGGGTGAGAAGGGTGCAGCTACCGGTAGAGAACGGCACAAGTTCGCGGAGAATTAAATTCTGCAATTACCCTGCCATTCAGGCACCTTTCGCAGCCGCGGCCTCGGGGATCCGTTTTACCGGGGAGCCGATGTCAGCCGAAAAGAATCGGTTCGTTTCGCCTCCGCGGCCGAAACCTGCCGAATAGTTGCGCGCTCTCGAAAAATCGACGACGAGCAATTAACCGGTTGCTTTGTGACGCGTCGACGGTTTCCTTTTTCGTAGACACCGCGAGCGAAACATTTTCATACGGATCGACCGAAAGAGTTTCGTTGTTCTATCTAACGAGAAATTCGTGGTATTCGTTTCTCCGTTTGATCGGAAATATTCTTTGTGTCTGAAAAGGATAATTGTTTCGTTTGCGACGGAACACATATTGCTAGTTTATAAAAAAGGAATTCGTTGAACGCAAATTGCGATTACGAAGTGATTCGGTTCTATGAAACGTTCGGAACTACAGTAAACTCTCTCTAATTGACGCTCAGATTGTACACAAAAATGGACAATTTGGGAAGAGGAGACACGATTGTTCGAGTCTTTTTTACAATTATCGACAATCTGTTGCTATAAAAACAAGCCGCAAGGCTTCTCTTCCCACATTGTCTATTTCTGTGGACAATCTGAGCGTCAATTAGAGAGACATTACCGTACCAAAAAAGTATTCGAATTCTATTTACGCAACGATGCAGATTATTTCGTGCTCGTCGATTTAATAGCATCTCTCGTTAAATTCTTCGGTCGCATTCGTTCCCGCAGGGCCGTAAGAAGGCTGTGGCGCCGTTACGAGCGCCGTTTCAGCGTGTTCGAGCGCGTTTCAGCAGAAGGGCCCCGCTCACGAACATCGCAAACGACGCGACGAGAGACCCTCGAACACGCGAAGAACGTTTGATACTCCCGGCTCTCCCCTGTTCTGGAAATGCAAATACCGGTCGCCACGAACACACAATTAGAACGGAATGATGTTTTGCAATTAGGGGCAGGGGGAGGGGTGGCGGCGGTGGCTGCGGGGGACGGTGTAGTTTCGTCGAATCGAAGATACGAGGGCACCGGCACCGGCCCCGTTCCACCGAAAGGCGTTTGCGGGCTTTCAAATTGCCCCAGCGAATCGCAGTCTGCTCGCGACAGCCTCTAATTATCATCCTGCGGGGGAACGAGTAGTTAGCCGGTTTTAACGGCGTCGAATTCGCTGCGCAAGCGTCTCGCCCCCTCGGAAATATGTCGGTCCTTTGGCGAGCCTCGCGTTTCACGAATACCATTCGTCGCGAACCGAATAATGCAAAAATCTATGTCCGAATGAAACATTGAACGGTCTTCCGGGTTCACGATTCGATCGATGTCGGTCTGTTTCGGGCCTCCGGAGTCGGTAGAAATTCGCGCGTTACTTAAATTAGCTCGCGGTTCATTAAAACGTTACACCGTGCTCGAGGTTGCATCGTCACTAAAGTTTGATCGCGACACAAGATCTGAATAGCGCGATCGCACTGTTTGGGACTATAAGGGTTAAAAAAAGTATACCGACCGTTGTCCCGCAGTCGGAGATGCACCGAGATCGAATGCACTCGCCGGAGCTTGTGATCTGGCGCAGCCTAGTGCAGAAAGTTCGAGATGAAGACGTTCGCGAGTCAAAAGAAAAATGCGGCGGCGCTTTGGTGAGCGAGGGAGCTCCGGTGGAATTTTTGCACGCGTTCCGATCGATTTTGCCCGGATCAGGCCGATCATCCGTCTGGATGGACGCCTGATTCCATACCGATGAAAAACGCGTCGGCCGCAGCCGGCTGCACAGTGGAAACAACCCGCCATTAGTCAGACACGGCCACAGGGAACAGACGCGTCGCTGGCTCGCTCGCTCGTACGTCAGCCGGTTTCGGGGGAAAGCCAGTAATTCTTATTTTTTCGGTCTGCCTGAAAATCTGTGAATCCGTCGGATCGGATCCGATTCGATCGAATCGTGCGATCGTATTTTATTTCTCTATGATCGATCCTCCGCCGTGATTACGACGCGCGCGGCATTCCGGTAATCATTTCGCAGCAGAAATCGCACTGTTATCCGTGGATCGCGAATCTTTCAGCGAGATCGACGTTCTTTGCATTCGTTGGGAGAAGCGGTAGTCTGGCGTTAACGAGTTGTTAATGACGTATCTCGACGGTGTCGTTACATCTTTTTAACAGGATCACCGTCGCCATGGAGTGCAAGAAAAGTCGTACAAAATCAGAACGATTTGCAATAATGTCTTCCTAGTTGACGCTCAAATTGTCCACAGAAATGAACAATTCGTGAAGAAGAGATACGATTATTCGAGCCTTGCAGTTCGTTTTTATAATTGTTGAAAATCGGTAACTATAAAAACGAGTCGCAAGGCTCGAATTCGCAAGGCTCCTCTTCCCAAATTGTCCATTTTTGTGGACAATCTGAGCGTCAATTAGGGAGACATTACTGTATATCGCGATATAGAAACAGAGAAAACAAGATTTGTCGCAGCAATCGTGTAACTTCTGCTAGCTAGAATGCTAGCATGCTGCTCGTCGAAATACTCGTCGTTATTCCGCAACAACGTCTAATATCAATCGCGCTCTCGAAACTCGGTCGATCCGGCATTAATTCGATATCACCTCGCCGGATCGTAAACTCGCGATGTCGTGCACCCGTGGATGTCCTCGCGAGAGCAACTGTCCGTTACTAATGCATCGAGAAAGAGTCGGATATGGCAGCGCGTTTCGTGCCGAGGAGCAGCAGGAAGGGCGTGCATTATTTAACATGGAAATTCATTTCCAGGAACGCGGCTCCCAGTTTGTAGACCGAGCCTGGGCGCGGCACGGGTTATTTCGCGTAGGTTCGCGGACTCGAAAGGCCGTTTTCGACCGGTCGAATAATTCACAAACTAGCTCGGATAAAAGCGCCGAATTATCTTGTTTCTGCGCCGGGTATCGGAACAACGAAGCAGCTCTGTTACGCAGCTGTTTTCGCCTCTGCGAGCGATCGCGACGATTTTCCGAAAGGATCTCCTCTCTCTCTCTCTCTCTCTCTCTCTCTCTCTCTCTCTCGCAGCGAGCGCGACGGTAACGACGTCGACACCGAATTCCGCGTGCCGGGAAACAGTGTCGCCTTTTGTAATTCGACTTGGCCGTCGTGCGACGCGTTAATTGCCAGCCGAGGGTGTACCAGCGCGTTAAAATCGAGTTTTCCCGAATCGCGCGCAAGAGAAGAGCAAATTGAACCCTCCGCCGGATTAAAATGGCTCAAGACGTTTCTAATACGCGAGACGTTCCACGCGATCCCGGGAACAAGCAACTTCCTGCGACACCGGGGATCCTCCAGAGGCGCAACGAACCTCCTGCAATTGGGGAACATCCAACTGGAGCAACGATCCTTACCAATTAACGTCCGTAAGCGCTCGTTCCCCGCGCGATGCATCAACATCGGCCTCGATTAGTCTCGCCACCCTTATCCCCCTCCC